AAAAAAAAAAAAAAAAAACGTTTTTACTTTTCTAAGTTTATTTTTTCGTAAAATTATAAAAAACTTGCTTACTGTCTTAAAAAAAGCAGTTTTTTTTCTTTTGCTGTTGTTGTTATGAATATATTTGGACTACAAAAGCTGATTTAAACAAACTGAACATTTTTCATTCAGTAACTTCACAATCATATTGCTCTTAAGTGTTCCATAACTTCAGTCCGGGGTTAACATCTTGATTTCATTTACAACAGTTTGAGTAAGGAAAAAAACTTTTTTATGCACCATTTCACTTACCTTTAACGACTTATAAAAATACGTTCTCTTTTTTTCTTACCTTAATCAAAACGATAAGTTTTGTGTAAAACTATGATTCAGCCTAAATGAATATCAGCTTATCAATGCTTACCTGTCTTTTCTACTCTTTTCTTATCAGTTCAACTACCAAACTTCCGCTTATTATTTTTCTGATTAAAGTAATACATCAATGTAACGGTATTTAACAGTATACTAATATAGACTTTACACTGTTTAATGGTGAATAATAAGCGGCTAACTAAGTGTATAACTGTAACCATTACAATAGCTTTTAAAACTTTAATCTTTAACTAATTTGACAAAAATGTTAAGTTATGCTGTTAAGAGGAAGTGAACTTTTGAAAAGGCTTCGAGCAATATTTTGCCAACTGCTAAGGGTGAACTTAGTGCTTACAGAGTTTGGATATTTTGTCTGTTATGTGTAACCATCAAAAACTGACAATATGGCAACCAAGATTCTGCTATTTTCATGCTCAAAATGTTCAAATTCTTAAAATTCACTCGTTTTTTGAACCGCTAAAAAATTCTTTGCCGTATATAATTCAACCACGAATCTTTGCATATACAGTTTTATTTATTTATTTTTATTTATCTTGTATATATATATATATATATATATATATATATATATATTTAATTATTTATTTGATTACTTGTATTTTTTGGCAAATATATACGCCACTTATCAAAAAAAGGTGTTAAAATTAATCCTTAGACAAAGATTACTCGTCAGTACTGTTTAAAATTATGCTTCTAGAATTTTTTTTTAAATTTATTTGCATTCAAAAAACTGATCTTTAGAATAGCAAAAGTAAATTTAAGTTTTGTTGTCAACAGCTTTCAAGCAGCTGAGACTGTTAAAGCTTCTGGTAAATATCAATAAAATTTTAGAGTTTCAAGTCAATGCTGAATCTAGATTTAAAGTTCTTGCATATTTTTTACCTAGACAGAACACTTTCGTGTTTAGTTCGTCCTCTTGGCTTTACTTTATCAGTCACTAAACTTTGAAATTTTTTAAATTCTTACTGGTTTTAAAAAGAAGTGTCTGGATTTATCTAAGTTTCAGTCGAGACAAATATCTTTTTTTTTTTTTGATACATTTTTAGTCGCTTAAAAATCCTAAAAACAAAAACTTGCTTAACCGACTTATACCGATTTTTTATAAAGAATATCAATCTAAATAAGCAAAGTGTTACTAACCGAAAACATTTTTGACTTTTTACTCCTCGAATCGTAAATTATCTCAATCAGGAACTTTTGTATCTACCAAAAATTGCAGATAATTGCTTACAAAACATAGTTTACCCGCGTGGTTGAGTAGTATTTTTAAGCGGTGACAGAGTTGGGAAGATACTCTGTTGTGTAATTAGTAAATTGTATTTACAGTACTAAATTTTACTGCCGCTATTGCTGTTCATTGACACTATTTTTAATTTCTAATTTTATAACAGAACTTTTTTTAATATGCTGAATAAATTATACTGAACGTTAAATTAATTGAACTGGTGTCCAAGTAAGTTGTAAAAAAGTAAACAATTTGTAATTATTTTCAAAATTTTTTTAAACCTTTATAAGTCATTGAACTCAAGCATTATTTGCTGCGATTAACTTAGTTAGGTTAAAGGTCACAATTAAAGTAACCGACTAAAACTAAAGTAAAAGCTTTTTTTTAGCACTACATCTTAGCAGTAAAGTAACTTTTTTTTCACTTGAATTATTTACAAGTTGAGCTGATGACGTATTGACAATCTTTGCCCTCTAAAAGCTCTGTTACCTTCAGTATTAGAAAAGAGCTCCTTCACTATTGCAGTGAATACTTTTCGGCTCATAATAACTAACGCATCTCGACACTCCAATTCGAGAAAAAAATCTACAAGTTATTCTGTTTTTGGCTTTTGTTTGATTATTTGCTTCTGTTGCTATGCGCCATATTACTGTGATTGTAAACATTCAAATAAGAACTTAAACATAGGTAAGGTTAAAGAGGCAAAATTTAGATAAGCAGACAGACAATAAATTTTTTGTTCTATTGCCTTCTTATTCCTGCTTCTCTCTCAAAAAAAGAAAAAAAAGAACTAGTAATGAAAAAACTATTGCTCTTAATTTTTTAAATCTTTTTCAAACAACTGAAATTGGAAATTTTTAAATACTGCACTTTCTTAAAGCAGAATTATGCGGTTCATTTTTTGAAGAATACAATTTTGAACTGCAGTTGCCAATTAAGCAGTGCTTTTAGAATATCTATTAGGTGGATAATTTTTAGGAAATTCCTGGTATTGCATTTGTTCAGGTTAGAAATAAAGTATACAAAAGTTAATTTTGTTAAATTATGCATCTAAACTTTCTGTTGAACTATTAAAAAAAACAACATTAAAACAAAACAACGTTTTCTCTGCTGTTTTAACTATTCTAGAAGTGTTTCAAAAAGTCAAATATTTGTTGAAAAATTTTTTCATTTGAATAGATGAGTATCTTTAATCTGCATAATATTACAAGTTAGTTTGTAGTAATTTATTCAGCAAAAAAGTTGTCTTAGAACAACAAGCAGTAATTAAATTTTATGATTAACATTATTGTTGTATAAGTATCTTATTGTCGACTTAAGTATCTATCTTACAATTGTGTTGGTAGTATCTGAACTATTTGCAACAAAATCTTCGCTGTTTATAGAAATAAAATTTTACAAATACAATATAAAGCAGTACTTATTCTACTTTTTTTTAATGTACTTTTATAAACAGTTAAATCTTTCTTCTGAAGAAATAAACTGCATTTAGATAGCGCTATTGGATATAACTGATCAAAAATTAAAACTTACAAACCGGGTCTTAATAGCTGAGTAGAAGAAGATGGGCAAATTTCCATCTTTAAAATTATTGTTAGTCTCTGTGGTTGTCAGCTTTGGTAGTTCATTTCATTTTGGCTATCAACTCGTTATCACCAATCCATCACAAGCAGCTTTTATTGACTTTCTAAACAGATCTTATGAAGCACATTACAGTAAATCTTTAACAGAATTTGAAGCTACGGTAGGTCTCTTTACATTCTCTTTCTTCTTGATTATTTATTACTTTTCTCTCAATTAACTGCAACGTTTAGTATTCTTTTTCTGATTAACTATAGAGAGCCAAATTAATTCTAGAATTCATTTTCAAGAATCCACTGACTACTACTCGTTAGATTTGACAACAGTCTGTTGTAAACCCTGTTAAAGCTTTGAGGAATAAAGAACACATGTGTCAAAAGTTTTTCAATTAGTTTATAGTGTAATGCATAAAACAATTTTTGTTTATTGTCGTAACGAATAGTTTTGAGTAAAGTTCAAAATGTTTTTCTGTTAATCCTAAAAATAAATGGCTGTCAATACATTATTATTACTTTTTAAATTTATAGAGGTAGTACACGAGTATCTGCAGTTTTAGAAATCTGAATATCATACCAGCGTGTATCACTCATCTTATTTTTCAATTCAGTCTTTTTATAGCCAAAATAATGAATAACTTCATAGTCACAATATTTCAACACAGAAATTTTGGTTAGCGAGACGAACACCTATAAAGACAGTACTTTAATTTTTGAATTAAATGATTTTAAATATTCCTGTATTTTAATCACGTTATTTGGTTAGTTATTTGAAACAGAAATATTGCAGACAATATGGTCTATCATTGTGGCAATACTTTTTGCTGGTGCAATTTGCGGAGCACTTTCAATCGGTTTTGTGAGTACTAAATTCGGTCGAAAACGTGGATTGTATGTGTCCATTGGGTGTGGCATCTTAGCTGTACTATTAGCAATTATATCATGCCACGTAATTTTTTTTCATTTTTATTTAGATTTGATTAAGTTTTATAGGGTCTTTGCTGAAGGTATAAAGCAAAATTGGAAGGGTTGAGAAGTGCAAAATATGCTGTTAAAGAAGAATTAAATTTGTTATTCCAACAACATTTTCAGGTCATTTCTTTTGAGCTTTATATTGTATCAAGAATCATACTCGGATTCGCTGTTGCGCTTGGTCTTGGTCTTAGTGCAATGCTTTTCAATGAAAGCAGGTTAATGTTCAGTCAAATTTCTGGCACATTATAATCGTTCCTTCTTTTACGTCTAAATTTTTTTTCTGATTTTAGTCCCCGAAATTGTCGAGGATTTGTTAGCATGATGACAGGTATTATGGTGCAATTTGGAACATTTATTGGTGCTATTATTGCAATGCCGTTACTGTTGGGCACCACAGATCGGTGGTGGTACATTTATTTAATAGAAATTATTATTCTTTGCATCGTTATGGCTTTGCTACCATTTATTCCCGAAAGTCCAGCGTAAGTTTCCTTCAAACTTCTGAAGCCTTTATGAACCTAAACGTCAAATGAATTGACATCGTTCAAGAGTCTTTCGATGCATCAAATTTGAAAGCTCAGAATGAAATGTGAAATCATAGCTTTGACATTGTTTACTGATTATTTATATCGACAGCAAAAATTTGTAAGAAAAGAACCGATCACCTTCAGATATACAGCGATTCTAACAGTTTACTTTTATATGATAAGATTCAATTAAAAATGGTTTTTTAACTTTATATGTTGTGCTTAGAAGAAGCATAAAAAGAAACATTAAGAAAATTACTTTTTTCTTTCTTTCTTTCCTTAACAATTAAACTACTGAAAAAAATGCAAAAAATAACTTCTCTGTTAAGACTTTTTTTTTGTATAACTAAAAGCTCACAAGTATTGTAAAATCTTTATATTATAATTTTTGTTTTTTTTATAACTTTATACAACTTTCGTTGGTCATGTGTTTTTTTTTACACTGTTTGCAATGTTTACATATGCATATATTGAAAGAGTTCTGACTTTTTCAATAAAGCCATACAAAAAGAAAGAAAAAGAAAAGTGACCTTATAAAAATTTTACTGATACTGACAAACTTAGTAAACGTTAAACAGAACGGCGTTAGTAAATATGACAAAAAGAAAGAAAAAACAAAAATTGAGGATTACAAAGTTTGCTATTTATAAATCTTGTATCAGACTCATTCTATTACATTTGACGTGCTAGAAATAAAAATTAGGACCATAAACTTTTAACAGTGCTATTAGTTTTGCAACTTTCTCTTCCTTTTAACCTTTTCTTTTTTTTTTTTTGTTTTTGGTTTATTTCACTGCACAATTTTAACATTAGTAAGTGCAATAATCTATAAAATTGTTACTGTTTTTATAAATTTAATGTATTATTTAAGAAACAAAAGTGCTTTATAATTGAAGCATTTAACAAGCATTTATCTATTAAAAAGACTGATATTATAACTTCAAATAATTATACGTGTAATAATTTATTGGCTGCAGTTACCTTATTCAACGTGGATACGATGAAGCGGCAAGAAATGCAGTTCTATTTTACTATGGTTGTAAAGTTGGAGCTGTTGATGGACCACTGAATGAAATTAAGGAAAATGTTACAGCAAATGCAAAAAAATTATCTGTTATTGCTGTTTTCAAAGATCATTACTCTCGGAAAGGTGTTATTGTTGGAATTGTTGTTTCATTTGCAATGTCGTTTAGCGGAGTGGCAGGTAATCAAAAATTTGCTATAACAGTTGTATAATAAGTGTTCTGATAACTATATAATTTTGTAAAAAAGCAGTATTTTTTTCTTGCATATTTTGTAAATTAATGTACACTTAAAGTATAGTTTATCGTTGTCAGTCGTTATCAGACAAAACTTATTACTTACAGTTATCAATGCGTTCGCAGTTGCAATGCTAAAAAACACTGGTTTATCAACTGAAGATGCAGCTTACGGTAATATTGGATTATGTGCAGTTAGTGTGGTCAGTAGTTTCTTTTTCTAGCATTTTTTTCTCACTATAAGATTTAATTCCAGCTGCATAATGTCTGCTTTATTAGTAGCTAAAAGTCAATACTTGCAAAAAAAAGTTGTATTTTTTGAAAACAGTAGAACGGTAATTTTAATGTCTCTTTTTTTTGTTGTTTAAACCGTACACAAATACATATCGTCAGTTTTTTTGGAATATAGAATCGTTTACAAATCAATTATGTCTTTAAAAAATAAAATTCTAATTCTACTTATCATTTTTTAAGCTATTAATTGTTTATTAGATAACAAATGTCAAAAAATACTGTACTTGAAAAGTTTTGGTTTATTGATGCTGTAAAGATAAAAAATAAAAAGTATCATTGTTTCTTAGATTTCATCTGGAATTGCATCAGTTGTGGCAGATCGATTTGGTCGAAGACCCTTAGTGCTGATCTCACTATCAATTCTACTTGTTTTAAATCTTGTTATTTTTGTACTGATGTTCTGTTTTGAAGAATTTCAGGTAACTAGAAGCCTAGTTTTTTTTACTGCATTAAATTTTACTTCAATTTTACTTTTTGTTACTATTATAAAGTGTGTTATTTTTACAAAGTTCTACAGCTGATAAACAATTTTTTGTCAGCTTCTTTTTCATTTTGCCAGTTTCAAATAAGCCAGCCAAATTACAAATGTGTTGAGTGAACTTGTAAAAAAATTTTAACTAACTCTTGTATACTTTCAGCTTCAATGGATTGGTTATTTTTTGGTGGTTATTATTGCTTTGTTTTTGTTCTTCTTCGCTATTGGAGTTGGACCGGTAAGCTTCTTTGTGGCAGCTGAAACAGTAGGTCAAGCAGCTCGTGGAACCTCGCAGAGCTGTTCATCAATGACTCAAATGATATGGTACTTATCATTTTTTTTAATAGATTAAACTTATAGCTGAATACTTTTTTTTGCTCATTTAATTTTACAGAACCTGTAATAACAGATTTCTGGTGCTTGGAAAATAGAAAACAACATTTATTTATTTTAAATTTAGTTGAGAAAAAAGACAAAAGTTAAAGGTAGGGAGAAAGACACATGGTCTTGAACAGCATCAAAAATTTGTAACATTTAAAGTTAGAGTTTCATCATTGCACTGAGGCTATAAACCAAACATTAAGATACAATAGAAAAAAACAGCAATTAAATGATGTTATAAGAAAAACGGCGAATCATAAATCTTAACTGTCTAAAGAGTCGGAATGTTGCAGAAAAATTTGTAAGACATCAAAACCATTAAACGCTTTTCTAAATTTGCAAAGTCTATCACACGTGACACTACATATTTACTCCTAATTGATACAGTTGCCGCTAAACAGAATAAATTTAACAAACGAAAGAAAAATCTATTAAATTTAATTTATATTTTAAAAAATTGAATCTTGTAAATAAACAGATAAAGCTAATAATTAAAACAAATCAAAAATTATCTGCAATACTATACATTATAAATTTGACTACAGTTCTTTGCAATTTTTCGTTGAATTTTATTTGCAGTCCAAGTTGTTTCACTGTTTAAATTAAAAAAAAAAAACAAATATGTTTTGGCTTTGATCTATTGACATTAAATTTCAGCCGTCTTGTCATCTTGATGATATTTTATCCAATTTCTGATGCTATTACTCAGCCAATTACCTATCTGATATTATTTGTTATTCCGGTGTTTCTGTCGATTCTATTTCTGTACTCCAATATGCCAGAAACCAAAAATAAAGATCATAAAAAAGTAGGCGTTTTTATTTGATCTTCAACTGCATAACCAACGTTACTAGTTTTTTGGTTTAATATTTTAGACCTTAGTTATCGGTTAACTAAAATGATGTATTAAAAGTTGAGCATCATAGATTATTTCTGCTGTAAATTAGTTTCTTTGCGGATACCAATTAAATTATACAATTACACTCATTTGACTTAGTCAGATATTTGAATAATAAGAAGAAACAAAAATGATTTAGTAAAATCTAACTCGCTAAGAAGTACAGGCGTTGGAACACAGAAAACTTAGCAGAAAGTGGTTTAGCATTTTAGTGATTTTGAGACACCGCCATGGTATGGATAAAAATTCTGCTAAACATTTGAAACGGCTCTGTACTGTATGCTTTTGAATTGAGTAGACTGTATCAAACTTTCTTAAAAATTTGTTTTTCTTGTACTTTGAATTGTTTGTTCTGCTCAAAAACTGACAAACCGAAAAATTACTGACAGGCAGCGGTTTTTTTAGAGGCTTTTTGTGCTTTCTACTGTTATTAACAGAAAACTTCAGTTGAACAACCGATGAGAACTTTTGAATTCAAAAAAGAATCCAGAATATTTTGAGAAAAAAAGAACTTTTAGAAGAGATTGTTTTCTGAGAGCGATAGGAAACAAATTTGAACATTTTTTAGGTTATTGAAGCAATGGAAAAGTTACCATCGTTGACAAGATGTTGTAAAAAGAAGGCGAAGCCAATCACTAATCTTCCAAATATCCCACCGGTGCTCGAATGTGATGAAGCATCGTGTTACGATGAAAGATATTAGGAATAGTTCTTAGAAACAAATTTTAAATTGATCACGTTGTACAAACCAAAAATTTGTCGATATAATTTATAACTTCTCTCAATTAGAATTCTTTTTTTTTGTTTAGTTTTTACCACTTCGGTGAAATGATCAAAAAATTTTTCAACTACTCACATAATGATTTATTTGTTGACGTACAACTGCTATTTTGATCACTTTCGTTTCTTCAATTATACGACTCTTCATCATTAAGCAACAATTCTTTCTGATACTTTCCTGATCTGTGTTGCTTTGAGATTTGGTCAGGTGCTAAAAATAGTACTTTTTTTAGTTAAAGATCTTTTTTGTCTGAAGAGTAATTTCTAACCTAAACTAACTCTTCTACTTTATTTTTTTCAAAAAAAATAATTGCGGTTTTCTCTCTCGTTTAGTCTTTTAAATTAAAAAACAGTCTTGGAAAATTTGCAAGGGAATAATATCTCAAGTGCAGTCTTCCAACTGGTGAGTCAAATTGTAAGATGACCACGACGAAGCTACAAATTAAGAAAAGAAGAAGTGGCTGGTAATTCATTTACTTGTTCGACGCTTATTGCTGTACTCCTTCAAACAACGTACTGATAAATCAGACAACCGAGAATGGTATTGGAGACGCCGAGATCTTACTTCAATTATGATAAAACTTTTTTTCTCATAATTAACGCTTCTTGCAATATTTTCCATCAAACAATAATATAATATTGCTAAAAAAAGCTTAAAAAACGTTGCATTGACTGCACCAAAATTGACATCTATCTTTTGAGCACAAACATTTTACATTTTATATTTTTACCTGTATGTCTTTTAATATATTTTCAAAGTACGCCAACCAATTGTTAATAGTAGTTGTAGAAGTGTGTGAAAATAAAGATACTATTAAAAAAATTTTATACACTTTCAATAATGTACAAGATTTATAAAGTGAGCATATTTTGGCCTTCTAATTTCAGGAGAGATATTGAAAAAAAAATACATGGTCAAAAAATTCAAGCTGAAAATTGATACAAACAGAACGAACAAAAGATAAAAGTAAAAACAAGAAATGCATATTATTGCATTTGAGACCATAGTACAGTGTTTTTCCCGAAAAAAAAAACGCCTTGTTACAGCAGTAAAAAGACTGTGCAACAAAAGAAAAGTCAAGAAAAGAAAAACAATATAAAGCTAACAAGTAAAAGAGTTTTGCTCATTAGATCAGCTCAAAACTTTACACTTCAGAAGTTACCCCAAAAACAGCTTTCAGAAATCAACTGCTTTTTGATCACAGTTCAGTAAAAACACATAATGAATTGACTGCTCTCACCAACCTTCAATTTCAGCTTATTTAACTGGAAGCTGACAAGACAACCTCTACAATACAAATACCAATGATAATGGTGGCATTCTAGCAAAAAATTTTCCTGGCACTTGTAACTTTCAAATCACCCTTTCCATGTAATTTCTCTTCTAGTTTCCAAAAGGAAAAGCAGCGAAAACTAAAGAGGTAGAGTTCAAACTTCTCCATAATTTGCAAAACAGATTTGTAACTCAGTTAGAGCAAGAAAGGAATGAACAAATCTAGAAGAACCACATAAATTTAGCTTGGTGATTCTATGTCATCATTATAAAAGCTGTAGAAATAATAAAGAAAATTGAAACATAAAAGTAACAAAAATAGATTAAAGTTGAAGAATAATTTGTTGAGACTGAGAGCAACAGAAACATCCCGTTTATTTCTTCTGCTTCTTGTGCCTGAATGCTCGCTTCGTAGCCTTCAAGAATCTCGCAACAAAAGAGCGATTTTTCGACTTACTATTTTCAATTTCCATATTGCGAAGAAAAACTTGCTCCTGCAAAAGAAAAGTATTAAGGTGAAAGAGGCTCGGTAAGCAACTTCTTGAAAAGACCTAGTAACTTCTGCCTTCTCAGTCAACCAGTTTTCATTCTCCACACTTGCTATCCAACCAATACTTTCGATTAACAAAAACTTAACAAGTTGAATAAATTTCGATCTTGTAGTAGGAAATATTTTTTTATAATCATAAATAATTCCTTTTATAGAAAAAAGATTTGACAAATTTTATCTCTAAGAATAAGTAGATGATTTTTGAACAAGTTAGTAACACACCTCAAAGTAAATACCCCGTCTACCAAAGTTGTAAACTTAGGCTCATCAAATGACATAGATAAATAAAGACCCAAATTTTCTTAACCTAATAATACGTTTCGTTAACACACTGAAGTATCACAGCAAACAACTGCATATAATACATCTACCGACGGTTAATTTAAGTTTCAACTTCAAAAAGTGCCGCAAAACCAAGTTCTCTGCATTAGTATTAAGAAGAGCAAAGTAGGAAAACAAAAAAGCTGTAAGAGAAAAGTCACTAAAAAGTCGAAGTTGAATTTTTGGCTCTTTTAAAATGTAACGATCGACAGCCATCTCGTGGTCTATTCATATTTTTCTCTATAACTATAATGTCAAAAGTAACGCCAAATTGAGTTATTCTTTCATTTAAAAACAAATATTTGCAGTTGTAGACATTAACTGCAACAGTTAGCGCTAATTAACCAAAAACTGATACCTGCGCCATATCAAAGATATCTCCATGAATTAAAGTATCACGACGACCACTGTGAAACATAGAATTTTGTATTTGTCTCTGGTAGTCTTGAACCGTAGCCATTTTGAGGTGATAATTGTTCTCTGAACAAAGAGTCACATAATTAACGAAAATATGTAGTAATTGTAAGATGAGAAAAGTAAAATTAATAAAAAATGAACCTACAGAAGCAACGTTGTAGCCCTCCCGTTGTTTTACTTACAGTGTCAGAAAGTAAAAGTAGTTTCTATTGGACAGCAATAGGAACTTTTCAGCAAGCCAACAGCATACAATAAAAAATTGCTGTCAGAAGAAATATTCGAACACAGTCTTGCCAGGAATAATTGTTTAAAAAAACAGTTCAGGTTTTGATTCTGAAAAAATTATAATTAGACGACTTAAAAAAACTAACGGCAGTTGGAAACCGTCCACACGAAATGAAACTTGACAAACGACTAACGCGCTGAAATGATCAAATGATAGTCATATAAATACATTTGTATATATATTTAGACACCTG